GTTTTTCCTAGTTTCCAACCTAAACCTCCCTAGCTGCAATTTTAGCCCATTGCTTCTTGTCCTATCCTCAGAGGTTAAGAAAAACAACTTTTCTTCCTCCTCCTTGTAACAACCTTTTACATACTTGAAAACTGTTGTCATGTCCCCTCTCGGTCTCCTCTTTTCCAGACTAAACAAACCCAATTTTTCAATCTTCCCTCATAGGTCGTGTTTTCTAGACTTTTAATCATTTTTGTTGCTCTTCTCTGGACTTCTTCCAATTTGTCCACATCCTTCCAGAAATATGGCACCCAGAACTGGACACAATACTCCAGTTGAGGCCTAACCAAAGCAGAGTACAGCGGAAGAATTACTTCTCGTGTCTTGCTTACAACGCTCCTGCTAATACATCCCAGAATTATGTTTGCTTTTTTTGGAACAGTGTTACGCTGTTGACTCTCATTTAGCTTATGGTCCACTCTGACCTCCAGATCCCTTTCTGCAGTACTCCTTCCTAGGCAGTCATTTCCCATTTTGTATGTGTGAAGCTGATTGTTTCTTTCTAAATGGAGTACTTTGCGTTTGTCCTTATTGAATTTGATCCTGTTTACTTCAGACCATTTCTTCAGTTTGTCCAGATCATTTTGAATTTTAATCCTATCCTCCAAAGCATTTGCAACCCCTCCCAGCTTGTTATCGTCCACAAACTTTATAAGTGTACTCTGTATGCCATTAGCTAAATCATTGATGAAGAGATTGAACAGAACCAGACCCAGAACTGCTCCCCGCAGGACCCCACTCATTATGCCCTTCCAGCATGACTCTGAACCACTGATAATTACTCTCTAGAAATGGTTTTCCAACCAGTTTTGCACCCACCTTATAGTAGCTCCATCTAGGTTGCATATCCCTACTTTATTTACGAGAAGGTCATGCGAGACAGTATCAAAAGCTTTACTAAAATCAAGATATATCACATCTACCGCTTCCCCCCATCCACAAGGCTTGTTACCCTGTCAAAGAAAGCTATCAGGTTGGTTTGACATGATTTGTTTTTGACAAATCCATGCTGTTACATATCCCCTTATTATCTTCTAGATGTTTGCAAACTGATTGCTTAATTATTTGCTCCATTATCTTTCCAGGTACAGAAGTTAAGCTGACTGGTCCGTAATTCCCTGGGTTGTCCTTATTTCCCTTTTTATAAATGGGCACTATATTTGCCCTTTTCCAGTCTTCTTGAATCTCTCCCATCTTCCATGAATTCTCAGAGATAATCGCTAATGGCTCAGATATCTCCTCAGTCAGCTGCTTGAGTATTCTAGGATGCATTTCATCAGGCCATGGTGACTTGAAGACATCTAATTTGTCCAAAAAAAAAGGAGTACTTGTGGCACCTTAGCGAATAACAAGTTTATTTGAGCATAAGCTTTCGTGAGCTTCAGCTCACTTCATCGGATGCATTCAGTGGAAAATACAGATCTTGGGAGACGGGCCAGTCCTTGCTTACAGACAGCCCCCCAACCTGAAGTAAATACTCACCAGCAAACACACAACAGAACCACTAACCCAGGAACCTATCCTTGCAACAAAGCCCGTTGACAACTGTGTCCACATATCTATTCAGGGGACACCATCATAGGGCCTAATCACATCAGCCACACTATAGAGGCTCATTCACCTGCACATCTACCAATGTGATGTATGCCATCATGTGCCAGCAATGCCCCTCTGCCATGTACATTGGCCAAACTGGACAGTCTCTACGTAAAAGACTAAATGGACACAAATCAGACGTGAAGAATTATAACATCCAAAAACCAGTTGGAGAACACTTCAATCTCTTTGGTCACTCGATTACAGACCTAAAAGTGGCAATTCTTCAACAAAAAAAAATCAGAAACAGACTCCAACGAGAGACTGCTGAATTGGAATTAATTTGCAAACTGGATACAATTAACTTAGGCTTGAATAAAGACTGGGAGTGGATGGGTCATTACACAAAGTAAAACTATTTCCCCATGTTTATTTCCCCCTCCCCCCACTGTTCCTCACATGTTCTTGTTAACTGCTGGAAATGGCCCACCTTGATTATCACTACAAAAGGTTCTCTTCTGCCCCCCCCCCCCGTTGGTAATAGCTCACCTTACCTGATCACTCTTGTTACAGTGTGTATGGTAACACCCATTGTTTCATGTTCTTTGTGTATATAAATCTCCCCACTGTATTTTCCACTGAATGCATCCAATGAAGTGAGCTGTAGCTCAAGAAAGCTTATGCTCAAATAAATTTGTTAGTCTCTAAGGTGCCACAAGTACTCCTTTTCTTTTTGTGGATACAGGCTAACACGGCTGCTACTCTGAAACCTGTAATTTGTTCAAGTAATCTTTAACTTGTTCTTTCCCTATTTTAGCCTCTTCTGATCCTACCTCATTTTCACTGGCATTCACTATTTGAGCTATGAGATGACTGATAGCTCAAAAGATGAGGATGGAGTATTGATTCTGATCTTTGCCCATGAAGAGGTGATTAGAGTTTTTGGTGAGAGCAGTTTCAGTGGAGTACAGGAGCCAGAAGCTGAATTGGAGGAGAGAAATACCAGACAGGGCTTGTAGATAGTGCATTCAGTAATCTTAGAGATGACATGGAGCAGTGGTTGTAGTGTGTGGGGAAAGAAATAGAGAATGAGAGCATTTGGAAGGGAATAAGTGGGCATTAGGGAAATCAGTGATTGGGATGGGGGTCTCTGGGGTAAATGGAGGGGTTAGCGGTAAAGAGAAGATGAAGTACTTCTGTGGCAGTGACAGCAGAGAAAGGGAAGAATTATTTTTCGATTATTGTGTTTTCTTTCATTTGTAATGGACAGCTTGATTTAGCCATCAAGCCAATGCAGGCCAGTGAAAATCTGGACCCAGGTTTAATCCCGTTTGTTATAATATGGAGTCATGATGAATAAGAGCAATGTAGAGGCACTGTGGTCTAGTAGAGAGGGGCACAGACAAGGAATCAGGAGTCCTAGGTTCTTTTTCTGGTTCTGTCACTGATCTTCTGTGGCCTCTTAGACAAATCATTTGCCCTCTTTCTTTTTTCTGTTTCCCCTCCCACTCTTTGTCTTGTCTGTTTAGATTGTAAGCCTGTGGTCTTCAACCTTTTTAAGCACAAGATCACTTTTTGAATTTAAGAGCAACCCAGGATCTACCCCACCCATTCCCTGAAGCCCTGCCCCTTCTCCCAAAGCCCCACCCTGCTGATTAATCGCTTGCTCTCTCCCACCCTCACTCAGTTTCACCGGGCTGGGGCAGGGAGTTGGGGTGCTGCCTCTGGGCTGAGGCTGAGGGGTTTGGATTGTGGGAGGGGGCTCCTGGCTGAGTCTAGGGCAGGGGGTTGGGGTGTAAGAGGGGGTGAGGGGTGCGAGCTCTGGGAGGGAGTTTGGGTGCAGTAGGTGGCTCCAGACTGGGGCAGGAGGTTGGGGTGTGGGAGGGAGTTCAGGACGGGTAGGGGTGCTGGCTCTGGGGGGGTGGGGGCTCAGGGCAGGGTCAGGAGGTTGGGGTGCAGGAGTGGGTTCTAGGTGCAGGAGGGAGTATGGGGTGCTGGCTCCAGGAGGGGTGTCGGCTCCCACCGGGTGGCACTAACCTCGGGTGGCGGTGCAGTGGGGATAAGGCAGGCTCCGTGCCTGCCCCAGCCCCACGCTGCTCCCGGAAGCTGCTGGCACATCCCTGAGCCGTGGCCCTGGGGGGAAGGGGCATGTGGCTCCACGCACTGCCCATCACTGCAGGCGCTGCCCACGCAGCTCCCATTGGCCGTATTTCCCCGTTCACAGCCAATGGGAGCTGCAGGGGCGGTGCTTGCAGGTAGGAGTGGTGCACAGAGACCCTCTGCCCCCCACGCAGGGATGTGCTGGCTGCTTCCGGGAGCGGCGCAGGGCCAGGGCAGGCAGGGAGCCTGCCTTAGCCCTCCTGTGCTGATGGACTTTTAGCGGACAGAGATTGCGACCGACTGGCAGAGGCTCCGCGATCGATCTACCTTTGGTGACCACTGCTGTAAGGTCTTTTGGTTAGGGACTCTACCTTACTATATGTTTGTAAAAAGAAAAGGAGTACTTGTGGCACCTTAGAGACTAACAAATTTATTTGAGCATAAGCTTTCGTGAGCTACAGCTCACTTCATCGGATGCATTCAGTGGAAAATACAGTGGGGAGATTTATATACACAGAGAACATGAAACAATGGGTGTTACCATACACACTGTAATGAGAGTGATCACTTAAGGTGAGCTGTTACCAGCAGGAGGGTGGGGGGGTGGGAGGGAACTTTTTGTAGTGATAATCAAGATGGGCCATTTCCAGCAGTTGACAAAAACGTCTGAGGAACAGTGGGGGTTCAGGGGGGGAATAAACATGGGGAAATAGTTTTACTTTGTGTAATGACCCATCCACTCCCAGTCTCTTGATTATCACTACAAAAAGTCTGTCCCCCGTCCCCCCCCCCCCAACCCGGCTCTCCTGCTGATAATAGCTCACCTTAAGTGATCACTCTTGTTACAGTGTGTATGGTAACACCCATTGTTTCATGTTCTCTGTGTATATAAATCTCCCCACTATATTTTCCACTGAATGCATCTGATGAAGTGAGCTGTAGCTCATGAAAGCTTATGCTCAGATAAATTTGTTAGTCCTCTAAGGTGCCACAAGTACTCCTTTTCTTTTCGCGAATACAGACTAACGTGGCTGCTACTCTGAAACCTGTTATATGTTTGTAAAGTGCCTAGCACAATTGGCCCTCTATGGCCACTAGGCGCTATTGTAATACAAATAATAATAGAGAACATGCTGTGTGCACTGATATGGCTCTCTTTGGGCAAGATTTCTTAGCATGATATGTACTTCTGTCCTGGAATATCTTTTGCATGTGATGCATTTTACTGTGGAGATAGGTGCAAGCTGCTGAAGTGATTCAAGGGTCACTTATATACCTGCATATCAGGTATGTTGAAGACTGACAATATTTTTGACTCTTTGCAGCTGTCCTGGATAATGAGAGGTTGACAGCAGAGGAGATGGATGAGAGAAGACATCAGAATGTGGCTTATGAGTATCTTTGTCATCTGGAGGAAGCAAAGAGGTAAGGAGGAGAGGCTCGAAATTACTGGGATATCAAGAGGTATTATTGTACCTGCTTAAGAGAGTATTTGGACATAATTTAGCTTTTGACTGTTGAGTGGCTATATGAGGTAGATAGCTAGAAAATGTGTACATATTATATAATGGGGAGAGGAAACAGTGTATGATGTCAGTGCAAAAAACTGTTGATGTAATTGGCTTATCCTGTGTGCATATGTAATTTAAAAATATTGTATGTATAAAATTTTGTGCCTGCATTATAGGTGGAGAGAGTAGTCACACAGGTAAGACTGCCTAACACTTCCCACTATAATCCTCTGTTTTTAGTTCCTTATAACTTTGCCAAAATGGGATGGTTTTGGATGAAATTTTCCATGGTGGGTCTCAGCCTCAAGTTTCCAAGAACAAGATTTGGGAAAAATAGTTTTGCCATTATCAAAACATTTTTTCCAAGCATTTTTGAACAGTTCTCATGCTTCTGTAGTTTGGTGAAAAAATTGAAATTTAGCAGGTGATCATGACTTGTTGCCTCCATGAAAACCCAGCCATATTTGGCCAAGATACAAGTTGGAGTATCTTGGCAGTAGAACTTGTTCTACACTTGCTCCTTAATTTTCTGAATGTTCCACCTGTAAATGTTTCCAAGCCGGATGTAGTAGCATGAGTCTGCCTGCATGTCCTTCTCCTTCAAAATATCCTTTGGGAAAAAGCACTTTGAGCTGGGAGCCAGGAAACTGTGAATTTAAATCTTACCTCTTCCAGTGATTGTTGACTATTTCTGAGCACAGGGTCACTTCTGGTAGAGCTGGGAGTAGAACACATGGCTCTAATATATCAAACCCAAGCTGAATCCACTTATGCAGCTTTCCAAAAGAATCTGCTATATCTATGTGTTTGGTTATGCACTCTGCAAAATGGGGCTACGTCTGTATATATATCTCACTGTTTCAGTACATGATGTATTCCTCTCTAGAAACTGGTTCACAAACAAGCTGGTATGATAGTACTTCAGCTCCAGTGGAGAGCAGTGCTGAAGATCCCCGGTTCAAACTCTGCTGACCACTCATTCAATGATCAATGCATGTTATGGAATTTATTTTTCAGTTTACTTCTTTAAAAACTTGGAAAATTCCATAAAAATTAGGTTTAAAAAAAAAGGTTAAGGTTGCAAATTCAAGTACTGAAAAGATAGGAAATACCATAATTAAAGTTGATCATATGTGTATGCATTATGAACAGTCTCTGCATGATCCCATACAATTTTTTCCACAGGACCCCAGCCTGATTTAAGGTACAGGCTGCAGGGTGCTCACTGAATGAGGCAGGTGCTCAATATCTCATGTCTCAGAGTAGCAGCCGTGTTAGTCTGTATTCACAAAAAGAAAAGGAGTACTTGTGGCACCTAAGAGACTATCAAATTGCCTTCTAATTGCCTTCTATGGCGAGATAACTGGCTCTGTGAATGAGGGGAAAGCAGTGGACGTGGTGTTCCTTGACTTTAGCAAAGCTTTTGACACGGTCTCCCACAGTATTTTTGACAGCGAGTTAAAGAAGTATGGGCTGGAGGAATGGACTATAAGGTGGATAGAAAGCTGGCTAGATTGTCGGGCTTAACGGGTAGTGATCAATGGCTCCATGTCTAGTTGGCAGCTGATATCAAGTGGAGTGCCCCAAGTGTCGGTCCTCGGGCCAGTTTTGTTCAGTATCTTCATTAATGATCTGGAGGATGGTGTGGATTGCACCCTCAGCAAGTTTGCAGATGACACTAAACTGGGAGGAGAGGTAGATACGCTGGAGGGTAGGGATTGGATACAGAGGGCCCTAGTCAAATCAGAGGATTGGGCCAAAAGAAATCTGATGAAGTTCATCAAGGACAAGTGCAGAGTCCTGCACTTAGGACGGAATAATCCCATGCACCCCTACAGACTAGGGACCGAATGGTTCGGCAGCAGTTCTGCAGAAAAGGACCTAGGGGTGACAGTGGACGAGAAGCTGGATATGAGTCAACAGTGTGCCCTTGTTGCCAAGAAAGCCAATGGCATTTTGGGATGTATAAGTAGGGGCATTGCCAGCAGATCGAGGGATGTGATTAGTTCCCCTCTATTCGACATTGGTGAGGCCTCATCTGGAGTACTGTGTCCAGTTTTGGGCCCCACACTACAAGAAAGATGTGAAAAATTGGAAAGAGTCCAGCGGAGGGCAACAAAAATGATTAGGGGACTGGAACACATGACTTATGAGGAGAGGCTGAGGGAACTGGGATTGTTTAGTCTTCAGAAGAGAAGAATGAGGGGGGATTTGATAGCTGCTTTCAACTACCTGAAAGGGGGGTTCCAAAGAGGATGGATCTAGCCTGTTCTCAGTGGTAGCAGATGACAGAACAAGGAGTAATGGTCTCAAGTTGCAGTGGGGGAGGTTTAGATTGGATATTAGGAAAATCTTTTTCACTAGGAGGGTGGTGAAACACTGGACTGCGTTACCTGGGGAGGTGGTGGAATCTCCTTCCTTAGAGGTTTTTAAGGTCAGGCTTGACAAAGCACTGGCTGGGATGATTTAATTGGGGATTGGTCCTGCTTTGAGCAGGGGGTTGGACTAGATGACCTCCTGAGGTCCCTTCCAACCCTGATATTCTATGATTCTATGATTGATTCTGTGATTCTCCATTACATATATGTGTGACGGGTTGGACCCCCATTCTGGGATGCCATCTGATATACTGGGATTTCACTGAGGCAGCCTGCTCCACTAGCCTGGGCTCCCTCTCCCTGTTTTCCTGAATCAGACTCTCTGGCCTCTGGCAGCGCGCGCACACAGGTAGGGACGCACCAGCTGTGGAATCACACAGAGTCTGCGAACAGCTGTCTATGGGAAGACTCAGGTAGGAAATTGCCTAGCACTCAAGTGCAGCTCCCCTCTAGAAAGTACGCCCAAAATAATGTTGTCTTGCTCTGTAGAGAAATCTGTACAAATTGTCAAAGTTTGACTCAGACTCACAATTTATCAGACCACTCTGTTTTATTAGCAAAGCTGCTCTGCTAATACATTTAGAAGTGAGCCCCCCGAGTGGGGCTTGTGTCTCTTAATTTATACAGTTTTTGGAGAACAAGTTACAGAGAAGTTACAGACAAAAGAAGAAAAATGATTTTAGTCACCACCCTTCGAGATCCCTGAGACCAGTCACGTATCTTCAATTACCTGCCACCCTTAACAATCTCCTTTAACAGCTTCCAGTTAACTTAACTAATTGCCCTTCACACCTTCCATTCTGATGCTGCTTCTTAGACGTGCTGGCTCTATCTTAATTGCTTCTCCATTCAAAAGCTAACTGTCCCTACATGTGCTCCCTCAGATACTTTGTAACATGTTTTGGCATGCCCTCTCATATACAATGTATCCAGCATGTCCCCTTATACAACGCTATACTTATACAATGTTATACTTCCACAAACGTAAGCTCATGAATTCACCCCCTCTCTTAATGTGGAGGAAAATACGCAGAACTTCTTGGCTCCCCCCAGTTATAAATTGCACAAACTGGGTTATGTTATAAACAAGAAATAAGTTTATTAACTATAAAAGGTAAATTTTAAGTGATTATAAGGGATAGCAAATAGAACAAAGCAGATTACTGAGCAAATAAAACAAAACATGCAAACTAAGCTTGGTTCACTAAAAAAAACAGTTTACAGCATGTAATTTCTCACCCTAAATGTTGACTTAGGCAGGATTCAGAGTTTCTGTAGCTTAGAGTTCCAGTTATTTCTCTTTATAGACTAGACTCCTCTGTCTCAGTCTGGACTAGGCCCCTGCCTTTCCCTCAGCTTAGTTTGTCTGTCTCTCCAGGTACTTTTTAGCAGTCTTTCTTCTTGGGTGGGAAGGCAGTGAAGGGAGAGTCCTGATGGCCTTGCCTCCCAGCCTTAAATAGAATTTACATAAGGCGGGAAGTCTTAGTTTCCAGTGGAAGAGTATCAGCAGTGTCCAAGATGGTATTTTGCATCAGGTGATATTATCACCTGACCTTGCAGTGTTGAAGCAACCATGAAACCAGGTTTATTTGCAATGTCCACAGAAAGGAGCTCCAGGAAGATGGGAGATCCACATCTTTAAAGACTCATTGTCTTTTTCTAATGACTCATCAAGGCTGATTGCTTACTGTCTGGTGGGTGTTTCCCAAGTATACACACAGTTATAATTGTTACATAATTAATATTCCTAACTCCAGATACAGAAATGATATATGCATACAAATTGGATAAACACACTCAGTAAATCATAACCTTTCCAGTGGTATCTCCCATGACCCATCTTGCATAAAACGTATCTTAGTTATGCCATATTCATATCATAACCATATTTCTATGAAGAATATGGGGTGTAACATCACAATATGCACCTGGTATTGCAGCCCTAATCCCAGCCTGGTGCAGAGGGGAGGCCCCAAAAGGGGGTGGTGCTGGTTGGAGAGGGAGTTCATCCAGGACTCACCCCACAGCAGTGGCTTCTGTCCCACAGGGCCCATCTGCTCCAGGGGTTGCAACCTGGTGCGGGGGGGGTCACAGCACCACTCAGATTTGGCCCGGTGGTCGGTCTCTCCCCACCCCTACCCCCCCCCCCAAAAAAAAATGGAAGAGTGGCTGAGCCAAATTAGAGTGAATGGTGTTGAGACCTGGCTCAAGGGGTTGCAGCGCCACTTAAATTTGGTCTGGCTGTCTCTCCGTCATGATAGAGGGATGGCCATGCTGAACCTGAGTGGTGCTGCAACTCGTGCACCAGGTCACAACACCTGGAGTGGGGAGCTGGGCCCAGTCCCATGAAACAGGAGCTGCTGCTACAGGATGAATGTGGGTTGGGCTCACTCTCCAAACCTCCCCTGGGTCCTCTCCTCTACACTAGACTGTGGGAAGTGTATCTTTGCCTAGCCAGAGTCCAGTGATGGTAACTCCGGCCCTGGATGTGATGACCCATCTAGAACCTTCTCACGACCCACTGTGTGAGGAACAT